GAACATAATAGAAATTAAGTTAAAAAGATGTCACTCGATATAGAAAAATAAAGATAAGATTGAATCACATTCAAAAATTACCCACTAGTGACTAAAAATTTTACTTTCATAAAGGTTTGTTCAAACCGCGACCTCCTGTAGCGACAATCGACAATGTCCGGACGCGTGGACGTACGAGGTTTTCATTGATTGATTTTGGATAATTATACTAACAATGTCGCACTCGGAGGTCCCTTACATGCGCTAGAAATAAAAGTAACATGTCATCAATTCTATATTTTTTTAAATATTGTACTCTGATCAGTACCCATATGACTATGCTCGACGCCGGGCGATGTGTGCCACGATCAGCGCCGATTTATCGCGAATCTCTGACATAATTTAGCCATCGAAGTACATACAGTAAAGGTATAAATAGTGAGGTTAGTATTAACTTTGGCAAATACGAATGAAGCATGGTGATGACGTCGTTAAATCGACATAATTGTGACAACGAATTAACGTTTGTATGTTACCATACAACTGAAAGTCGCTTACTTGTACAGCCCGGGGTGCTAGTTCTCCAGTCACTCTGTACCCTATGATGTTCCGCCTAACGGTGACTGTCCTATCATCACCCGAATAGTCCACCCCGGTGTGATTCTAATAAAGCGCGATAATATTGAGCCGCAACATTTCAGTCTTCAAAAAAGAAGCTGACGCACCTACCACTAGACGAATAATTTTGTAGGTGTACATTGAGCTTTAAAACAAGTTAAGACAAACTGCTACTGGGGCACGATGTCATCGAGATGACGTCATTTGTGCGTACTTTTCGTACCCGTAATTGTGTGGCGTGTGCGTTCCGGTCACTGTCACAAATCTTAAAAACTAAAGGTGATTCGAGCGAATAAACAATGCGGCAGTGTACAAAATTTACATCACATTCACTCGAAATATTAAAGCATACGAGTTAAAAGTTCAGCGTCGGAGGAATACACTGAAATACATTAACATACTCAAGAGGTCAGTGGCTTGGACCAGACTACAAGTGGAATGCTTTCTTATTACCATTGGCTTCGGCAATGTGAATGTATAAAGCAATCTTTCTTTAAATAATGCAAAACGTCCTTAAAATGTCCGATGCCTAGATTTTTAAGGGTATGTTCCGAAACGTTTTCAGTATACTGCCGAATACAAATGGCGTCATCAATTGACACTATATTGTACTGGCGTGCCGCCGCCATATTGTGTCGGATATCCGGCCATAATAAAACAATTTTTAATTGTGTGTGCGCTGAATGAAGCATGCTAGAATTTGTTTTTATTTATTCAAATACAAAAAAATATAGAATAATTGCTGGTATCTCCATTAGGAGGATATAATGATTTTTGGAGAAAGACAAAATAATCGCCAAAACTTTTCCAATATGGTGCACATGTATGACGTCATATACTGTCCTATGTTTTGGAACGTAGCACCAGTATGGCGTCGATTCATGACGTCATTTGCATTGGACAGTACACTGGGTTCTATTTTGGAACATACCTTAAGTTTATTACGACAGTTTTGACAACTTTCGTGTCAGCGAAACCATTCAAGTCGATGCCTAGCTACCGCCTCTGAAATAATTGTTTTAAAGTGATGTGAAGCTTAAAATTATTTCCAGTTGGGTGTAGAACTGCGCTAATTTTAATATTAGTTCGATTTTACATACACATAATGTTACATAACAGTAAAAAACCTACCTAGCAACAAGCGAGCGTCGCTCGAGACGCGGGCCACTGCGCACGAACGAGCACTTGACGAGCCTTGTGATGATTACCTCCCAGTTAGTAGTAAGTATCATTTTCAATTTTAATTGTTGCGCTATTAAACATTATTGAATATATAGGAAATTGTATTTTTTTAATCCAAAAATAATTTAAATTACATTTTTATAGATTACAACAAATTGGAAACCTCGTGTATATTTCTCAACTTACAAATTTTCAAGGGAATATCTTCTGGTGATACCAGATGTTTATACCGGCGCCGTGTACGTAATGTCGATGAGACGAAGGCTTTAACAGTTTCCCTGTCCAGGAAAAGGACATAATAGTTAAACAACCGAAATGTTTATTTATTCGTGGGAAAGGAAAATGATTAAAAGGTTTATCGAAAAGACATCTTTAAATATATAGTTCTTATCAGACTATAAATATCAGTAGCATCTTTGGTTTTCATCTGTGCTAGTTTTTAAGCCCGACACTGGGCACCTGATGTGCGTGGTCGGCGAGTGGCCCGCGCAGTCACAGTGCAGGCGTTACATTTTCATTTAAGTAATCACTTTTTACATAACTCCATAAACGTAAAATGAAAATAAATCACCTAACTATGACAAGTAGAGGTTACTGTCTATTTGCATTATTAATTAATGTTATTGATACAATTACTGCCCTAATGCTTAAAAGTAAGATTTTTATTTTTATCATTAATAATAAATTATGTTATACAGTATATATATGTATAGTGTTGATTACGCCAAAATCGCGAGTGTATACAAAGTTTATATACTCACATATCTTACATTAGATGTAAATAGAACCCACAGTAACGACGCGATGTCAGATGGAGATCACGCTCCAGTTAGTTAGTTACTGTTAAAGTAAACCGTCGTCCGCTACAAATAGCGATTCCCCGCCGATACAGACTCCACTCATCTTCTCGAAATAGTCACGGATATTGACATGGTTCTAAACATTTGTTACTCACTTAAATATAAAATTAAATATTTCAGTTTACATGTATCATTTTCAGTACAAATACGCTAGAGGAAATAAATAAAGTTTTTTTTTTTAAATATAATTGAATAGAATAGTAGATCTTATATGGCTACACCTAAGGTTTAAATTGTAAAGTGATATAGAAAAAATATGAACACAAAACTATTACAAATAGTATATGGCATAAAGAATCAATGCTCTTACAAGTATAATTAATCAGTTTGTGCTTAACGTGAGGCTTAACTTATAAAAAGTATATTTATTCGGGGATAGGACACAGCTCCATACAAAATGCAAGTTATGCAAAATAAACGATATCTTAATCCGACTGAGCGGTTACTGTTGTGTATTCAAAAGATTATAAAAATAATTTCTCATTGTAATACCTAATAATGGAATGATATTTTGTATCAGTTTAAGTAGGCCTGTGACATACTCCTGCATTTTACTACTGAGTTTCAGCGCTAAATTTTGGTTCCTTTCTTATTTTGGTCCGTAAGAGAGTGAGTATATAAGCATATTTCTGTTTCCGGAGCGCGCTGAAGCGCCGTCCCGCGTTCGGCGAACGACCAACCGAAGACTACAAGCGAACCGACATCCGCGGTCGCTGCAAACATAATCCAAACGAACGAACCGAACACGGAAAGACGTTTCGGTCCCGAAACGATGTAACTAGATCTCGGACCGCATAAACGAATTCTACGAGCGTCTAGCACCAAAATTTAGAATTGAACGCGAATTATACAAAACGCCTTGTCCGCAACAATTGTCTACAAAATAAAAGAAAATTAATCAATGGGAATATATTACAGGGAAAATAATGAAACCGGATCTAGTTACGAAGGTTCGGGCGCGAGCCTATACTGAAGTATAGACGATGCCCGAAGCCATGTGACTGATATTTGCACATTGGCGGTATAACCAGTAAGCTTACTTCTCATAAAAATATATAATATAATAGGCTTAGCTGCGGCCCGGCCACACCCTATATATATGTTCGCGAGCGGCCATGATATGCTTGCTCGAGCCAAATACCAGATAGGAAAATTAGTAAACAAAGTGTTAGCCCCTTCATACATCGAGGGTGTGAGCGGTTGGTACGAGGAATGACGGCAGTATTACCACAACAACGTGCCACTAATCCCACTCGAATTCTTTTATCGCTCTATTATATTTACTAAAATGTAATTATTATTTAATATTAGAAAGTTTTAGAATATTTGGTACAATTGTAGAAAAAAAAGCTACCGTTATATGTCTCAACTAAACTTAACCACCCATCAGTAGAAATATTCTTTCTGGAACAGCAATATAGCTGAACAGTTTTTAACCATTTCTTTTTCCCATGAGGGGCGAATTAAAAAACAAAACAATGATGTAAGTAACTAGACTGGTGAGCGAATAGGCGAGTGTAGGAGTCGGCACGAAATTTGAGCGCTGGACAATTTTAGTGCGGCTTGTTTGCGCAAATTCATTTTAGTTACACGATTGTGTACTTCAAACTATCATATTGTGATTCTTACACCAATCAATGATTTCTGAATGAACAATAAATCGAGTCTGATGTTCATCTTGTATTATCAAACAGACTTAGAAGCTTACAGTTATCTGTGTCAGTCTAACCGTAACCAGTGGAACTAGATTTAACGATCAATCAATAACACAGAATAAGTCCAAGTTCCTCACCATCTTAGTGAAATTTGACATCTGCCTAAGACATGTGGAAGTAACCCCAAACAACAAATGAATTTAATAACTCTACAGGGTGTTAGTGTAAACACCTTTATCCTTGAAACCAGTGGTTTGATTTCACTTATAGAACGTAAATTCAATGAAAAATAACAACATTTTTTTTAAAGTAAAATCTTAATTTTTCCTTAATTCCTCAATTTTTGCCTGTCCTAAGCCAAGATCAAAGTATGAAGGAAAAGTTACATCACAGGTTATGTGTACCTATTGTGTTTTTATTGGAATGTTGTGTAGGTAGCTAGCGCGGGCGGTGATCTTTACAGTGATTACGTTACTCGGGCGCATAGGGTATCCATGAATTTACGGACGGTGCCGGACAGAAACTTTTTAAATTTTATGAAAGAAAATAGCGTTGTTTTTTTTAAATTCATTGAATTTACGTTCTATAACTGAAACCAAACCACTGGTTTCAAGGGTGTTTACACTAACACCCTGTATAGTGCGCAAACGAAGGTCAGCGCTCACAGTGCGTGCCGCTGGCCGCGTGGTGCCGCCGCGCGCACCGCTTAGTAGAGGCCGCAGCCGCGGAGATTGTTCGCGATGATCACGTCGGTCACTGCGTCGAACACGAACTGGATGTTGTTGGTGTCGGTGGCGCACGTCATGTGGCAGTATATCTCCTTGGTTGTTGACTTGTTCTTCGCCTCGAACTGCGCCTGGATGTACGCGGCCGCCTCGCCGTACTCCTGTGCACCTGTTAACAAAGATAAAGTTTACACATTTTTTCATGGAATAAAGGTAACCATCGAGCACACAGTCTGCCCGATGGTATGTGGATGCTGTGGCCCATAGATATCTGCTTTTACAGACATTTATCCTCGACTAAGAATCAAAACGCAGTTGTCACCTCTAAGGACTAAGATGGAATGCCTCGTTTCCAGTAAAAAAGGGTCTCCGGATCTCTACTCTCACCATACGAAACACAGCAGTATTAAGCTGTTATTCTGTGAGAGCATGGTCCTTCCCCGGTCGAGACGACTCATTCGTGCTACAACCATAATGTAGCTGTAGCGTGGCTCTACCACGTATAAACATTTTTGTAATTATTCTACTTTAAGAATACAGTTTGATTTATCCATCATATCCATATTCCAATTTATATAAAATAAATCCGTGAGAAAGAAACTCTAATATCAACACTTTTCTAATAAAATAACTTCCCACGCTATGAAATCTGTCCAATATTTCACTTTATGCCAAGGTGGCGCCGGTTTAGTGGCAGAGAAAAGGTCTTGGATGCCCACTTTGACAAATGAGTCTGGCAAATATTAATCGCGGAATGAAAAAGAAAATGATAGATGTATCGCAATTTCTCGGTAGTCAGGCCTTGTTTGTTAATAAGCATGGCTTACTGCTTGCATGAAGTTAAAGATTTGGAGGAAATATATATGCATTTTTTAACTGTTATAAGCCAGTACTTGACTACTAAACCGTGTTGCGGCGGTTTAGGAATATCCACTACCGCATATCATCCCGTGGGAGTCACTAGAGGCAACAAAGGGAAATTAAGCAGGTGGCCAGCAGTTTCTTCCTGACAACAACTTAAAGTAATAAAAACCTGCAGTTGCGTAATATCTCACCAATAAATCAAACTGTGGGGAAGCCTATATATATTCAGCAGTTGAATTTTGATGGTCTGTTCTAATCGTATTTCACCAGATGGTGAGTGGCGATGTTTTTTCCCCTAAAATCGATGACTTTTATTAGCAACTAAAATAGCCGACAGACATTCTGCGATGAGTTTTAGTCTAGTAAATAATAAAATTATAAATAACCACATTGCCACCCAAGATATTGTGGTTTTCTCTTTTGGCACTGAACCATAATATAATATTTATTAGCAAGTCATTAAAGTTCATAAATATAGAATTCGTTGATAACTCGACTACAGCTCACACTATTGTATTGACAAAACAAATATAGGGTGTAAATGACCTGTGAAATGATTGTTTAAGTCGTTCAGAAGTTAAGCCTACCAGATGCACCACCAATTAAAAAAGAAGGAAGTTCTTGTATCATCGAATCGTACACATCAAGTATCAAATATTCTGAATAACTACAATAAGCAACGATATTTTAACGGAGAATGTAAATGTTTTAATTTGTTTAATACTGTCGACATAGCCGTGGTAGCTCAGATGGCGAGTAAAACGGGTTCGATCCCCGCCGGCACCAATGAAATTGTTAATTGCAATTTTAAGTGCTTATTTACCACGTGCTCGGCGGTGAAGGAAAACATCGTGAGAAAACCTGCATGTCTGAGAAATAAGAAAAAAAATATTTCCAAGACATGTGAAGTACGCCAACACGCATTGGGGCAGCGCGGCGGACACTTCCTTGCCCTAATACCGGTGCCCGCAGTGGGACGTATATGGCTGTACTGTAACTTTTTTTTAACTGTCGACATATATAAATAATTTATTTGCTACCAAACAAACCTATAAAAAAAATTGTTTATTATGTTTATATAATCAGTCGAGCAAGAAATTGCAGTCAAATTTATTGTAACATTTACTGTAGGTATAAAAAGAAAACGACAATTCATAATAGTTCATGTATTTGCCTATGGTATTCGGCATAAGCTAAATTACAGAAGTACACCAAACTTTCTTTACATCATTCGAAAAAACCATGTAACACGGACCTACTTGTTATACAGATGAATAGAATAGAAAGTCAACAATCCAATAAGTTCTTAAGGATCTATTAAATTGTCTGTCATGAGTTTTACAAATTTGAAATACAAAACACGCCAGGTAAGCAAAATTATTGTTGATTCTATATTCTCTGCATTAAATTTAAAAATTTAGCGTTCTTTCGTTAAAACTTTGTATACATTTTGAATATATTATATAATTTTAATTTTGATTTTGATTGTGATATTTGTATAATAATAATAATTAAAATATAATAAAATTGTATAATAATAATAATAAAAAAATTACATATAAGCAAAAAATTCAACATTAAAAAATCCAAATGCTTTTATGTTAATAGTAAAGCTAAATGTCATATATTTTTATATATGGTTACAAGTGCATGTAAATAATAATTAATTAGTATGTTAATTTATGTTATCATTTAATTTAGGTAATCTGAATTGAATTGTTGCATAATAATTTCAAAGCTCAAAAATCATTGTAATGCATGGCATTAAAAGGCTTTTTTATTTTTATATACATTTTACATACTATATAACTAATTTCTTGTGATTAAAACTCGTAACATAAAACACCAGTTTGACGTTTGTAATTATAATGCATAAGTTCAACACAAACAAAATAATGAAAAGTTTAAATTTTTTGCCACTGAAGCGCCGCGGCGCCATCGTTTTGCGTAGCCCAAACTTTGCATCATATTACGAAATTTTGTATACAAATCAGGCTTCGCGCCCCGAACAAAATTTTCATAAATTCTAAAGTGAAGGATACATGAATTTTAAAAGACCGATATGAAACCAACGAGTGCAAAAACAATGGTTTAAGGGGAAATATAATCTCAAATGGCTTAGCAAGATCCTTCGTTATGCCGAAAATATTGCAGCATTAATTTTGAAATAAATATATGGTAAAGTTGAGGATTAATGTTAAGGATTATGTTAGTCGAAAACACGATTTCGTAAAATTTTCTCGATAGAAAAAAAAATCCAAAGTTACCTCCAAAATAAACAATAAACCACTGTTATTCATAAAATACTTTAAATAAGATCATGAAACTTTGCATACTAACTATAAAGCAGTGCTTATGTTATTTACTTTTTTTTTAAATACCATTATTTTCACTGTAAAAAGAAATTACCTAAACTATCGGCCTTTTGAAGCGTGATTCCTGCCGCATGGTCACTTCGCTTCGGCCTTTGAACGGGGAGGTTGTGTCGCTTACGATCAGAATGTACATTACGCAACAGGACGACTTAACGTTAGGTGGCGTTAAGAAACAGGCATAAATATGATAAACCTAATGAAATAAGTGTCTAACGGCCTTTCTACTTACAGTATTAGTGATTACAAACATGTCGGTACATAGCATACGACGCGCGGGCAAGTGGGGACGAAATTAGAATTTGAGCTGACTTACTCTATCCCCTTAATAGGCCTCGTTTCATCATTCGACAACATTTTTGAACTCTTTGTTGCAGATAATATTATACACTTAAGCGTGCGAAATTTGAATCATCATCATCATCATTACAGCCCTTCACAAGTCCACTGCTGAACGTAGACCTCCCCCAAGTAATGCCACAAAGCACGGTCCTGAGCCACTTGCATCCATCGACTTCCTGCATGTCTTACCATGTCGTCACTCCATCTAGTGGGGGGGTCACCTTACACTACGCCTACCGGTACGAGGCTGCCACTCGAGAACCTTTCTTCCCCATCAGTTACCGATTCTTCGAGCTATATGGCCGGCCCATTGCCACTTCAGCTTACTAATCCGTTGGGCTATGTCGGTCACTCTGGTTTTACTGCGGATATCCTCATTTCTGAGTCTATCACGCAGAGAAACTCCGAGCATAGCCCTCTCCATAGCTCGCTGAGCGACCTTGAGCGTTCTCATACGGCCAGCAGTGAAGAACCACGTCTCAGATCCGTAAGTCATCACTGGCAACACGCACTGGTTATACACTTTAGTTTTCAGAGATTGAGGTATACCTGACGAGAAGATGTGTCGTAATTTCCCGAACGCTGCCCAGCCGAGTTGAATCCGTCGATTGACCTCTCGGTCGAAGTTGGACTTACCTAGTCGGACTATTTGTCCCAGGTAAACGTACTCGTCAACAACTTCGAGCATAGTGCTCCCAACAACTACCGGCATAGGTGTGACATGGACATTGAACATGATCTTTGTTTTGTCCATGTTCATCTTAAGACCTATCCGTTGGGAGACACCATTGAGGTTATTGAACATAGTGTTAAGGTCCTCCAGCGATTCTGCCATAAGGACTATATCGCCGGCAAATCGAAGGTGAGTGATGTACTCGCCATTGATGTTAATACCGTATCCTTTCCAGTCCAGTAGCTTGAAAACGTCTTCCAACGAAATTTGAATATTATGTCATAATCAATTTACTTTTGGGTATTAAGTCTCAGAAATGAGAGGAAGCCTGTGCCCAGCAGTGGGACGTTTTTAGGCTGTAACTAACATTCGTAATAGTAGCATGAAATATGAAATATTAAACAACTACGATATAAAACTTGGGCGATGGTAATGCGCATTAAATTCTTTAAATTGCGTGACACAAATAGCCTTATTAAGGATTTTAAAAATAGCCTGCGCTCATATTTTTTGCTCCGCACCTTTGATCATAGCGTGATGAGACATCATTCAGTTCTTAAATTTAAGCAGTAAAATTTTCAATAAAAATAGTTTAATGGGAATCGCGTGTTACTAACAAATATAGCAGACAAAAAACTATTACTTCTTTGTAACGCATCTATCCTTACCAAAATTATATTATTTTTAATACATATGATATAAAATGTAATCCTGTTAGGATTGTCACATACATAGAGGTTCAGTCGCCTACTTCTTTCCAACTTCATCACTATCATCAACCTGTGTCAGTAAAAAATGCTTGATATGGGTATATTGTTGACATTAGGCAAACAAAATTTAAACATCTCACGTCGAAATACATAGAGATTTCATTCCAAGGTCTCTCAAGGCGCTCAGATCAAGCTTCGCGCCTCCAGTTACTATAACTCCCAACGTTTTTGGCTTCTGCGATAGTTGTGACAAGCCCATTGCTACTTTAGTTTACATGCAAACTATGACTGATTTGTTCAGCGGATTTCTTATTAAAAATCAAAACCACCAAAGATATGCCAAACATAGATTTTTCCATTGCTCGTTTAGCGACCGTGAGTCACTATGGCCAACGATAAGCGATACCAAATGTAAACAAATCCAATGCACAGTTATTAGGAATAACAGGGGTACGAAACTTCTTGATAGTTAGATTAAATATTTAAGTAAATATAGTTTTATAAAATGTCCAGCAAACCCAAAAAATAGACTTATGTAGGTAGGTATTAATAACGATATTTTTTCAATTCACAATAGAACTAGCAACAGTACAACAGTAAAACACCTAAAATTAAAAATTAATTTAAAATGATATACTTACTTTTCTTACATGCATCTTTAATAAATTAAGGAAAGTTTTATTATTACAGTTGCTGTTTTTTAAATAACTTTAAGATAACTTTAAAGAACACTCCGACAAGAAGTTTTAATTAAAACTACTAAACAACATTTATATGTAATGATTTCTTATGTTTACGCGAACACTACACATTTTAATAATACTAGTTTTTACGGATTTTATCGCGTATATTTAACTCTTTTTTATAGAAGAGACGGTAAACGAGCATACGGCTCACCTGATGTTAAGTGATTACCGCCGCCCATGATCAACCGCAACACCAGGAGAATTGCAGGTGCGTTGCCGGCCCTTTAGAAAGGAGTAAGGCTCTTTTTTTGTTGAAGGTCCCCAGGTCGTATCGGTCCGGAAAAATCGCCAGTGGTAAACTATTCCACAGAGAGGTCGTACGCGGAAGAAAACTCCTTGTGAAACGTACAGTGGTGGACCGCCAAGCATCCAGATGGTGTGGATGGTATCGGGAGGTTTGCCGCGTAGGTAGTGTGTTCACGAAATTTGGCGGCTGGGATTAATCCGAACAATTCCTCAGACAAGGAGGTGATGGCGATAGGCCTGTAGTTGGACGGGTCTGAGCGGTCGCATTTTTTAGGGATCGGGTGGACGAAAGCCGTCTTCCATGATTTTGGGACTACGCCTAGGAGTACCGGAAAAGACGCGTTAAAACCGGTGCCAACTCTGGAGCACACGTCCTCAACACAATTGGGGGGATTCCGTCAGGGCCCCTCGACTTGTGGATGTCTAGGGAGAGGAGCGCTGTGTGTACTGCACCTCCGGCATGGAGCACTCAAACCGCGGGATGGTCGGCGACGTACTCCCCCTGTCATCGAGAGTCGAGTCGGACGCAAAGAAAGAGCCTAGCAGATCGGCTTTCTCCTTTGCGGTATGGGCCAGTGAGTTGTCCTCCCTGTGCAGAGATGGAAGAATGGCTGACAGATATTCCCCTGGACATCCTTGGCGAGAGACCAGAATGCACGGGTTCCAGAAGAAAGGCGACTTAGTTTCTCGTCAATTCTGCCTATGTGCTGTGACTTTGCCTTGGCAATGACTCTTTTGAAGAAGAACTTTTTAAATATCCGACGTTTCGAGCACTTTACAGCACCCATGGTCATGGGGGAGACTGAGATGTTCAACGTATAAATGTCATAGTTAACCACGGTTACCATAGATTAATATTATTAATTTTTGTTCCGATCTATGCAGTATGAACTTATAGTATCTTGAAGTCTTGCAGTTGTATGCTTAGGTTGGGTTTTAATTGTATTAATTATAAGATCCCAAGCAGATGGTAGCACCCAGCCATCTTCTCTATTGAAATTAGGATGTTTTTTGATTTCAATAGCCTCGCGAATCGTCCTTGGAAGGAATCGGTGTTCTTTAGCGAGGATTTGTGGGATTTGTGGTCTATCAAATCTGATGTAGTGATGGGGGCGATCCTGTACGTGTTCACTCTGCAAGTGTGGGAATTCTACAGTCTGTATATTACCTTTGGTATAAAAGGTTGGCATCAAACTGAAATAAGTGCCCTGATAGAAAAGTCGATACCATCATACTCTACAAAAGGTTAAAATTAAAATATAGGAGATTGTCAATGATGAGGCCATCTTACATGTACAGTTCTTGTGTTTTATTGTATTTATATTATTAATTTTAATAACTTAGTTTCAACATTCGAGGTTCGAAAACGCTTCGTTAAGATAAACTGTTTGCAGTCAGTGGAGTCATTTCTTAGCATTGTTTGAGGTCATTTAATTACTTGTGAATCACTCAAACGCTTGACTTTTGAGTCCTAAATAGCTTAAGTACCTAGAGGTGTTACATGCTGAATCTATGGCAAGCTATTATTGATACCTATTTAAATTATATAACTAACCTGTATACTCTGGGAAGCAGATGGTGAGCGGAGATTTGCGGATCTTCTCCTCGAACAGATCCTTTTTATTTAGAAAGAGGATGATGCTGGTGTCTGTAAACCATTTGTTGTTGCAGATCGAGTCAAAGAGCTTCAGACTCTCCTGCATACGGTTCTGAAAAGAAAATAGCGGATTTAAAACGTGTTTTATTTAAGATCTCTTCCTTAGACTATTCAAAAAAGCAAACTTTTCTTATGGGCTCCCAGTGGTTTGAAACTCTAAGGAAAATTAATGGAAACTTTTTATGCAAAAAAGTATTTTCTTCCAGGAAAAATATAATATAAGGTTTTCACAACACTTTTCACAGTTTCGAATTTGTACAGTAAATTTTCTATTTTAGATTTTTTTATTACTTTGAAGTTGTAGACCGAAGGAAAACTTTAATATTGCTATGGTATCGTTTCCGTTCGTTTTTAGCTACAGCGTAAAAACAACTTCTTTAATATAATTTCAAATTCTTTTAATTTACTTCTTCGGTAGATTAAAATTTACAATGCTAATTTCGAAAAAGGAATAGTTACAATATAAAAGAGCAGTTTAATAGTTAATGTGTGAATTATTTTGATAACATATTTTAAACCATACTTTTTCTTTTTTAATTTGGGCTGTTTCATAAATTTTGCGCCCTTTCTATGGAGTAGCACTTAATTGAAAATAGTATTTGTCGCTAAGTGTGGCAAACATTTAGCCTTTATTTTTTAACATTTAGGGTTTCATAAGAGGCGACTTTGGAAAATTCTAGAAAGATTATGTCTCCCAGTATATAGCGTTGCAACCATCTTGTGTAGTATGGCAGATGCAATATATTTCTAAACCAACGAAGAGCTGAAGAGCTGCGTCTAGGGTGCAAGATATCTTGCACGGTGATCTCCAATGCGCCTGCCGAGGGTGGCGATTACGGCTAATTTTAACTATGAAAATAGCTCCATGTTTATAAGTGAACTGTTTACTTTTATAGGTAGAGTCAAAGATCGCATAGCAGACAAATTATCAACTTTCGGGTTTTTTTCAATACAAATATCGTTATTAAATCCTTCTTCTATTATACTACAGTTACCACATGAGGTATGAATGTGTCTGCGTGAAGACAAATTAGCTATTTCTCCTCCTATATAAAGTTATTATTCTTCGTAGGATGCTCACAAACGGGTTGGCATTTCCTGTACATTGGTTTTCAATCATTGAAAATTTAATTATGACTCACCGTCGTCTCATCCTCGTGCAACACCTGGTCGTACTCGGACATCGCTACGCAGAATATAATCGCAGTGACGTCCTCGAAGCAATGGATCCATTTCTTTCTCTCGGACCGTTGCCCGCCCACGTCGAACAATCTGGAGTAAAAATAGTTTTGATGTTGGCCATGACGTAGTTGGGGCCCTTTTTACCATTAAAGTAAGGTTAGATACTATTGAAGACTATGTCAGAACATGATCATACATGGACTGTCGCCAACGTTTTCTTTTGGGTGTCTCAGACCGTAACCTGTTTTCTCTCATGGTGTTAAAGAACCTCGTGCCCATTCTTAACCACCAAGGCTAGGTACAGTGTAGACTAATATTGGGGTGCTCACAAACACAGACAATACAGACACGTTCGCTCGTTACCACTTCCCCATATTAATTTGATTTAAAGCAATGACAAGTATGTCATAATGGTATATGGTATTAGATGTAATGACTTGGTTGGACTTGTTCTGAATGCGAACCTTACAGAACAATTATTATTAAGCCAAGTCGCATGGGTAAGTGATGGAAAGCAGTTTTATTACAGCGGGGACATTTCCACTAGCCCCCTCAGTGCGGTGGAAGATAGTCAGTCATAAGACGATCTGATCTGAAAACAAAGAATTTGTTGACTCTGGCGAATAGTAAAACTCAGTAGTTGCAAGGTAGTTGCGATGAGACCACAAGGTCAAGTGATCTTCATTTATTTTCAATTTACTTATAACAAAAATAACGTGCGAACAGTCAACTGTGTGGAAATTATTATATACAATGGACACACTAAACACTAAAAGTTCTTTGCTCCTAGCCGCTCATAAATATTAGAATTTCAAATGTAATATTTTTTTAAAACTGAGGCATTAAATTTTTCAGGTTACGGTATATATTGCTATGGACCAATGTTCTTAATTTTTAAGTACTTGATGCCTGAAATTGTTTTTATGACAATTTGAAATTCGTCATCCGCAGCAAAAATGGAGTTATCATGAAAATATTTTATGGCGACGATTTTTGTACGGTTTTAAAAGTTCACTCTTTCCGGCTGCTTGTCTTCAATATGGCTCATACATAGGCCATATTTAAAAGAATTGACGTCAACATTTAAAAGTTAGAAAGATTTGTTGCCTTTGAATGAACTCACCCCAGAACAAAAGCGGGCTCGAGTTGATTGGTGTAAAAAAAATGTTGTTAAATTATGATCATTGACGTTCAAATGCTGTATAAGACATTTTGACAGAAATGAAACATGGATATACATATGTTAATATTCCGAAAAGAAAGCAACAGTATTCCATATGGGTGTTCGAAGGCGACAAGAAACTAACAAAATTAAGGCTGCCATGAAGCGTGAGCAAAAAGTGATTGCGTTTTTCTTCTCTCAGATAGATCCTGTCCCTGATCCTATCAGGGACAGGATCTATCTGAGAGAAGAAAGATCCTGTATCTGAGAGAAGAATACGCGATGAGCAAAATACAGTTATTGCTGAGTGGTACACAACTATTTGTTGCCTTTGAAAAAGTTAGAGATAAACGACTAAGAAGTCATGTCCTACTGCACCATGACAATGCGTACACACTGCGAACAAGACAAAGTCATTTTTGGTTTCCGAAAAGATGGAGCTCGTGATCCATCCCGCACACAGTCTAGAACTCGCACTATACGATTTCTTTATTTCTCCAAAAACGAAAGGTTTGACATTATGGGATATTACGAGACCATTACGGGATACATAATATTACGGGACTAGAAGAGGCCGTGACAGCTGTCAGTGAGCATGTGAAAAACATGCATTCATATCGAGGGTGTTATGTTTTCAAAAACGGTTTGGAGAAATGAAAAAGTGTTTAAAATATAATGGAGAATACTTTGAAAATAATAAATAATTAATTTACATATAAATTGTTTTAATTATGAGTTACGCAAAACCAATGCACATTAAAGAAGAAGTACGGATACTTACTTGAAATTAAGGTTTTTGAAGGAGAAATGTACTTCAACGATGCCGGTGGTTTTGACTCTTGTTCTTAAAATATCTTGCTCGGTCGGCTGGTAGTCTCTAGCACCTAACCGGTCGAGGTCGTCCAAGAAACTGAAAAGGAGGGAAGCATTTCTATAATGATCTTTTGATTACATATAACTGATTACACACAAAAATATTTTTATAGAAGTCATCTTCCTTTTAATGTAATTTTGCTAGGGGCTATGGTTTGCCGGATTTTTGATCCAAAATGTTTTTCAAGTGACCCGAAAGATATAACGAATATATATGAGGTTGTTATAATATCTATATATAAGTAATAATTACCGTATTTTATCATACGCGGCTACTAGCCAATATTATCTCATGGGTCTGATAAGAAGCGCCAGAGGGAAATAAAACGAGTGAACAAGCCTAATGGCAACTCAAAATAATATAATTGACGCCTGTTAAGCATGGCAACTATGGCAAATATCCTCCCATCAGAGTCGAAGGCGCATGTTCCACTTTCGTTTTGACTTTGCTATAATGAATGAAAAAAAAGAAACCGATTTTTAATGATAAAATTGGTTTCTTTACATTTTAGAGATATAATATTATAACATGTATAATACAAAGTATAATTATAGTAGGTATATTCTATAATACTTTTATTTAATAAATTAAAATAAATAACTCGACGTATAAACGCATAAATATTGCCAAAAATTTAAATATTTTGTTTTGTTCATATACAGTTATGTTATTTATTTCATTATTCTTACATGAAGGGCTTTGTCGCTGAAACGATTATGACGCCCTGGTAGTTACAACAAAGCAAATTGAGAACCTCGTCTTGTTTTTGAAGTCGGTTGAAAATTATTATTGGATACAGGTATCCTGAATTTTTTCAATATGTTCAGTTTGATCGCAAATTATGGAATTTCGATAAAACTTCGTCATCACATCGAAGAGGAAAAGTTTACATTAAACGATGTTAACGCAAACAAGCATTGTAAATAATTTGTAGGAAAATGCTTTAAAATATATACAAAATGTTTAACTAATCATATGGTTTAGGAATCCTTAACCTTATGATTAGTTGAACAGTTAGGATCAAACTGAGCTCGAACTCGTCGCGGCACCACTGGATAGCTTATTAGAAATTATTTGTGTTTTTTATTCACATTTACCACGTTACCATTACACGATAAATCAACGGTTGACATTATAAGAAAGCCTATAGGTTATATGAATAATTAAAAAAATCATTAAGTGCATGTATTATATAAGTCGTAAGTATTTATAAGTGGTAGAGCCATGCTGCATTATGTTAGTAGTATAGTTGTAGCACGAATGGGTCGGCTCGACCGAGGAAGGACCACGCTCTCACAGAATACCAGCGTAAAATAGTAGCTTAATGCTGCTGTGTTTCGTATGGTGAGTGTAGAGAATCGGAGACCCTTTTCACTGGAAACGAGGCATTCCATCTTAGTCCTCACGGGTGACAACGCATCCGCATTTTGATTCGTAATCGAGGATAGATGTAGATGTCTACGGGTCGCAGCAACCACTTACCATCAGGTGGACTGTGTGCTAGTTTGTCACCCTATCCTATAAAATAAATAAAATAAATATGTAAATTTACCAATTCACGCTGGAGTAGAGTGGCGAATTCTTTTCAGCTCCATAAGCCTTCTTAAATAATGAGTGAGAGAGATAAAACAAGTGGCAAACGAACTTATATTTGGTATTCGCCAGATGGTAAGTAAGCCAATACAGTTCATAACCACCTGCAGCCATCTTCATACAAAAGAGGCTACAGATGTGTTGACACCTCTGAAGACTAAGAAGGAATGGCTCTTAAGCCTGTATGTATTAACCTTTCTGTATTCTTCACTCCGCAACTCAGCAGTGCATGCACTGTTACTTGGCGCCAGAAGTAGGCAAGAGTGTGGTAGTGGTACCTACTCAGGTAGAAAGAGTCCTAACACCTAATAGTTGTATAGTAGTAATATAATATTACGTAGCATGTCACTTATTACATGATTCATATAGTATAGGTACACCAAAGAGATTTAAATATATAATAACTACTTACTACTACATACTTAAATGTCTTTGAGTTACACCAACACCTTCTTTGGCGTTCGTTGGTATTGGCAGTGGAAGTTCGCAGTTCTCAGATCTTGCCCTTATGCGATTATAAACTGTATTACTATCCATTCTATTCTGAGCCTTCTTTAATTTATTTTATAGGTCAAAATGCGGAAACGACAAGTGTATATATATAATCAAATGAGTACAACAATTTTTCTTGTAAAAATATACTTATATAATTCGAGAAAAGCCGTAGGTTAATAAATTAATCCTGACGTATTCTTTGATCGCAGAGCACCAAGGACAATTGAGACCAATTAATTACGACTAATATAAGACATCAAAGCGCATGACTGTACGTTACACGTCATAAACAAGCATACCTTATTAGTGCAGACACGACTATCAAACCTGAACACGCGTGGCATCAGTCAGGCGCGCCTTGCCCTTATACAGCTCCGTTATAGCCAATTAATATCAACGAATTCCGGATTCCATTATAAATTATCACAGCATTAAGATTACGAATTAGATGTTTTTGTCTTTCTTTACAGTGCAATTAGTTATAGATCTGCTTACTTAAAAGTTGACTAGCCCATTCTAATAAGTCATATTATATGTTAAAGTTACAGCCTAGATACATCTTTCTGCTGGGCACAGGCCAGCTATTTCTAATTCTTTCAGCTATTTCTGAGAGGGTTTAGGACAAGGAAATGACAGCCGCGCTACCCTAATGCGTGTTGGCGAACTTCACATATCTTCGAAATATTTTTTCTTATTTTTCAGACATGAAAACTTAGTCACGGTGTTTTCCTTCACCGCCGAAGCACCGTGGCCAATAACATTTAAAATTTCAATTAACAATTTAATTGTTGCCGGCGGAGATCGAACCCAAGTTGCTCGCGTACTGTGAAATTTACATTGAGCGCTTAGCCTCTGAGATATTATACGTACTATATATAGGTATAAAAACAGTTCACGTCTTGGTTATGATATTCTCCACAGCTTCAAGCCCACTGTCATTAATTAAAATGTGCCTTAATATCCAAAGTGGTATAATAATTCTCGATAATTTAATTTATACCAATGCGTATAACGGATTCAATTGTAGGGAATGGAATGAATGTTGATACGAAGCCGGCAACATATTCGATGAAACTGCAACCAGTCTTATTGAAGTCTTATAAGGAAACTGTATCGAGAATAGTGACAGTGACGTGTCATACACTTACGTGTAGTTTAATTACCCAACAAACACCGTCATATCGTTAGCTCTTATTAAATTTAAAATTTTCTAAAATAGCTTTATCACATCTAGCATCGCTAATCTATTATACAAAGTCATATTGATACACCCACTTTTACATATAATGTGATATAAATATGTGCAAAATGTTAGACAGTAGAAAACACTAGAGCTTGACAGTAACATGCACACCTGTAAAAGGTATAAATCGTTAAATATTCTTCAGTGTGAAGTAGCAATTCGGGGAATATCTGTCTATCAGGAAACCCGCTTCACTAAAGCAGATCGAATGATGGATTGATAAGACATAATGTCAATGAATATGGTAGTAGTATAATTAAATTAAAATAAATAAAGAAAAGGCTCTAATTTTTTACGTGGTAGAGCCATGCTGCAGTTATATTAGTAGTATAGTTGTAGCACGAATGGGTCGGCTCGACCGGGGAAGGACCACGCTCTCACAGAATAGCAGCTTCAAAGAGTAGCTTAGTGCAGCTGTGTTTCGTATGGTGAGTGTAGAGAACTTTTTACTGGAAACGAGGCATTCCACCTGAGTCCTCACGGATGACAACGCATCTGCATTTTGATTCGTAATCGAGGATAGATGTAAATATCTATGGGCCACAGTAACCACTTACCATCAGGTGGACTGTGTGCTAGTTTATCATCCTATCCTATAAAAAAGGCTCAAGGATCAAGTAGTCGGTACTGCGATAACCAATCAACCTGCTAAGCGTGGCGATTACGGCAAATAATCTCGATTACATAATCGAGATTACTGCTGCAAGTTGATTCTCACACGAGAGATCAACTTGCAGCAGTGTATTGTTATGTGCTGGTAAAGAAAGATTCTATTATACTTTTTACAAGCACTTATGTTGTAGGTATAACAAAACATATTATGTGCCTACAATAGTTGTTACTTTGATAGAAACTTATTTTAATTAAAGATGAGGAAATTAATTTTCTTAAATCCGAATACGAATAAGATAAAATGGTTTAATTATTCACCATCATCATTACAGCATAAAAACCCACTTTCGCGGCAGTCTTCATCATCATCATACAGTTCATCATCTGTACTAGATTCCCCCAGCCTGTTGAAGCAGTGGACTAAGACTGCCTCATTGGGGGTTTTCGCCATAATTACCACGCTTAGCGGGCGTTTTAGCCACCGCTTTTTTCTTTCTTATTTTGGGCAGTTTTTAAATGGGCGTAAATGCTGATGTGTAGGTCCTATTTCAGTTTCCTTCTCACTTCTTCACTCACGAGATGATATAGGATAATGGACTCTCTTATGACGCCACTACACGCATATTTCCAACCCATAATAAAAATGATATAAACCGTTTTATATTTGTTTTATTATGGAGCAATGAAATGGAACTTTCATTTGATTTATATACAGTTTGAAAATAATGAAGGGCATTCAGTATTTGTATGCGGGTTTTATAAAGTTGATTTATAATCTTTAATACTCAACGCCTCAAACAAACGTTTAAGAAAGGCACTGGTTTATATGTGCATAAGTACATGAATATATACGGCCGCTTTTACTGCCAATTGCAATAAGTAAGTGTTCTGAAAGCCGACAGGGCGACGGCATCGCATACATATTAACGAGTTCACAAACCAGACGTAGACAACACGCGATACTTGAATAATATTAATTGTTATCATTCATGCAAGTTTATTGAAAATGCTCAATAATTTCTGAATCATAAAAAGTTGGCGTCATAAAATTCTAAAAAAATCAATCGATTGTAACTGAACACCATAGCTTACA